TTATTTTTGTATGTGTTACATAATGGATCCCTGGAAATATTCGATCGTCCAATTTTGTGTTTTAGTATCGATATGTAGATTTTATAATAAATTGGTATGAGACGTAACCTATTAACTATTAAGTGGGAAACAATATAATTTTTCAATAGCACACTGTATATCAGTTTTACCAAAAGATCCATTTCTGAACTGCAATACGTACGTTGACATAATATTGTAATATAAGTTCATATTAACCCAGCTGTGATTAGGCGTCCGAAATAGGACACAAATTACCTTTCATTAAAAAAGTGAACTTTTTTAAGCAATAAAATACTGTCTGAATTAAGCAAAGAAATCGGTCTTTTTAATTTTCTCAGATTAGGTTCCGTATTTAAGGTTGAACCCACCTAATAATTTTCCAATCGTTTAATCATGAAACAATTTTTATGCGGCCTTATGCGGCTAACTGTTCCAATTATTAAAAATTATCATCATGCATCATCAATATTTGTAAAGTTTTTGAAGTCATCAACTAATGTTTTAGTGTATGAATTCGTTTAATTGATCATCTCTAAACTGGAAATATTTCCAATGAAATTTTGTTAATTACTTTTAATTCCCGTAACCTCTTTTAATTTATTTTAGAGCTTTGATCCTTTTTTTTCTGGACTATCCGGATTTAATTCGAATTCTCTTTCAATCGGAAAAATCATTGATCACCAATCAAAATTGCGAAATTTGAAGCTGGTAGAAAAATTTTTTTTAATATATATATTTAATTTTATTACTAGATGTCAGACTCGTCATTAAGCGTCGGGTTAGATTTTAACATCTCTATTACCATACCCTACAGGATAAAGGTGAATAATCGGCGTTTACAAAACTTTCTCGCATACACGATATGTAAAGAGGACAGCAGTCATGTGAGTTTTAGTCAATCATCGAAAAACAATAATTACAGTAAATAAAGCAAAATAATCATTCTAACAGCTCTTTATGGTTAGTTTAGGATGAGAAGGTTTGTATTCTAAAATCCAACATCTCTTTATGGTTAGTAGTATCGCGCGCATGGGAATATCGTCCCATTAGCAGCAAGCTGCTATAATGCGGGCCAGAATTCATAATGCGGGCCAAAATTTCATGCGCATGAAATTTGAAAAAAACTCTAATTTGCCCAACTCTAGTTCAATCTGGATAAATCCATCGTCCGTATCTGAATTATCCGGATAATTCAGATCGCTCAGAAATCCGGACAATTCGAAAGGTATTCGAATAATTATCTGGATATCTTAACAGATTGGAGCTCTAATGATTAGTGTTAGAATGAGAAAGTTCGTATTATAAAATCATTATAACAGCTCTTTATGGTTAGTGTCAGGATTAGAAATTTCATTTTAACAGCTCTTTAAGGTTAGTATTTAGTATTTTAATTATGGATGTTTGTACTGTGTATTAAAATTTCATAAAGAATCTTTTTTTTTTTTTTTTTACCGATATGCCCATCATATTACACTGGTTAAAAAATCATAATTTAACTAAATAATAACCAGTAATATATAGTACAAATTATAAGATATTTATTATATGTTTACTAGGCAATATATGTAGTTTAATATATATTTAGTTAATATGTTTAAATACATATATTACCTCGTAAATATATACTGGTTATTATTAGTTAAAATATGATTTTTAATCAGTGTATTAGTCCTTTTAATAATATATCTAATTCGCATAATTCACATGTGCAATATTAATTATTCAATGTGCTTAAAATAATCTTTATATTAATCTTTAACTCAATTATGATAGAAACCTGGATGATGCAGTATATTAATATATCTATTAATTAAAATTATTTTGCAGTTTTATTTTCTTTTGGTGATAGACTTTCGGTGTGAGAACTAAACGAATCTCTATAATTGTTAAATTGAAATAGCTTATGTTATTGTAAGAATGTAGACAATATAATGTTTATTGTTTTATCTGTTTTGTCTTCGTTATTATATTCATGACATGCTGATGCATAAGTTAGACTCCTCTCGAACATGATGCAGAGCAAATACTGTATAAAAGAACTGTGCCACAGACAGGCGCGTTGAAGATCGGGATTTTTTAATTTATAGATTTTTATTTTTTGTACATTTTAAAAAAATTAAAAAAATTCAAATTACCGGTAGGGTGGCCGTACATTAAAAGCGGTCTATGGTGATGCGTAGTATGATCATTCATATTAAATCCCATTTTCTGTCCATCAGCATCGACCAATCAGAACCATAACAGGTATATCATGTATTAATCTAGTAAGGATTATGATCCGAATAATCCTCATCCTCAATTTAAAATTGACGGATAATGATATCCGCATTTAATATGAATTATCGGATCAATCAGAATTAGTCGGATTGCGGATAGAAGCACTAATTTATTTACTTCTTTATATCATTTCTTTTTTTACTATCAATTTCTGAAATTATTTTATTTTGACTTCGTAATTCATGCTTATCGCTACCATGATTTCTCTGATTACTAATTTCATGATTACTAATTTCATCATTATTAATTTCGTGATTATTAATTTCAAATTTTCTTTGTCTTTCTGATGTTTATGTATTAAATCTTAAATATTTCCTAATTTGTCTTGACATTCTCACACTGATTCGTTTTCTAATTTAACATCTATTGTTACTTTTGTTGCATTATCGTCTCTAATCTCTATTGTCCTGTTTATTTATTTATAATTTTATTTATATGTCATCCCTCAGATGAATTCTTTGAATTCTTGTATCAGATGATGCCCGGCCTAAATTAGGATAGGTGTTGATTTGCACTGGTATAATCATGTGTTAGAGTTCCAATCCAAATTAATCCGCCATCCATTTCAGATCGGATTAATCCGACTGATAATTAATATCCGGATAAATTTAGATAGGATATTCGGATAACAGGATAACAGATATATCTGAATAATTTATCAAATTATTCGGTTATAATCTATTTTACAGCTATTATCATAATTTCTGGGACACCTGTAAAAATTTGCCGAATGATTTTTCGGCCGATCCGGTTAAGTTATAGATTTCGGGAATAATAAGATTCAGTAACAGATATATCAGATACGTAATTTAATAAGATCAGATGACTAATATATATTAAATTTCAATTCTATTCTTTAGCACGATCCATTTTCACTAAACAAAGCTTTTATTCATTTCTAATTATTTTTCAACGAAAGTTCAGTTTTAAAAAATTGTGTAAAATTTCAATTCTCATTCTTTGGTAAGATCAATTTTCGTTCAAACAAAGCCTTTATTCATTTCTAATTATTTTTCATGTCGAAGACAAGAAAATTTGGGTTTAAAAAATTGAATTAAATTTCAATTCCTATTCTTTGACAAGATCAATTTTTGTTCAAACGAAGACTTTATTAATTTCTAATTATTTTCAATTAAAATTCGTTTTAAAAAATTGTGCAAAATTTCAATTTCTATTCTTTGGCAAGATCCATTTTCGTTCAAACGAAGCCTTTATTCATTTCAATGAAAATTAGTTTTTAAAAAATTGAATTAAATTTCGATTCCTATTCTTTGGCAAGATCACTTTGATTTCGTTCATCATAATTCTCGACAAATATTAATAAACTCTTGGTTGCTTGGAATTTTTAACCTGAGATTCATTTCCAACGACAAATTCATGATTATATTTAACTTTTTTAATAGCAGCGCCTGCTCGAGTAATTTATTTGTTATAAAAGCCTAATTTATATTCGATTCCTTTTTTACGTTTCTTGTTAAGGTTTATTGGTTGACATGAACAGTTTTTTCCATAAATTTTCGCACAAACTAAGCACACCAAACATGTTGGACAAGCATTCGAACGAAAATTTAAAATCGTTGACATTATTGTTATGTCAATCGTAAAATGATCAACAAAAATAGCATTATTTTATTATACTGAACATGTCAAATCAATAATTTAACCGGATCGGTCGAAAAATCATCCGGCAAATTTTTACAGGTGTCCCAGAAATTATGATAATGGCTGTAACCAATATCTATTAGATTTCGATATCTAATAGACAATGGGTTATGTTAGGAACACTACCAAGTGTAGTACTATCTGATGCAATTATGTAATTATGCAACTGAGGCACAACAGAAGACATTTGTGTTAACCATTTACCCATTTTGTCTATTAGATATCCGAATACAGTAAACCCCCATAAATGCACGCTCTTGGGACTGAACTTTAACAACATGCATTTATAGGGGTCATGCATGTATTTGGGTCAGAGGTTGAGCGTGCATTTAGAGAGGGTATGCATTTATAGAGGTTCCATTGTAATTTGATAAATTATTCGGATTCGCTTGACAATTACAAGTTCTTAAGTAACCAACAATATAAATCATTGATAATACAGGTTCTAAGGTAATAAACAATATAAATTGGAGAAACTCTATTTTATCTGGTGAAAATAAATTTCTCTATTTCATATTTTTAATTACCTTAGAACTTGAAATCCCCAATACACCAATAATTTGGTTGAATTCGTTTGGTTAATGAGGTAAATGTCCGAATATAGTATGTCGGGCGGATTAATCAGGATTGGAACTCAATTATTCAGAACTTATCGTTATCGTTATGCTTATATCCGGATTTATGATTATTCCGGATTTTCCGGATTTAATTATATCCAGATTTAATGTGTTCACTAACACACAGATACGTAGTTTGTTTGGTCATCATCCGGTTTAATGAGATGAATATCCGGATATAGCGTATTAATTCGGATTGGACATAGATACTATCGTTATATCTTAAAATTAAATTACCATAAAAGACAATTTATCTGTAGGACTTTATTTGTAATCACCCAAATTATCCAGATGCAAATTCTAGTTGTAAGTAGAAAAAATGCTATAAATACGGCTTCTTTACACTCGAATGATTCATTAAAAACTCGATAAATTCCTCAAAAATTCTATTGATTCCTCAAAAAAATAGATTCGACACTTACTATGAATTTTCAAAAAATAGATCCCTCTGCAAAAAAGCATTTTACTTTTGATAAAATTCCTGATTTGAGTGGAAAAGTAATTAGATTAGTATTATCATTTGATTAAATGAAATATAAAATATCAACCTATTGAATTTTTATCTATCAATTATCATCTCTAGGTTGCAGTTGTTACAGGAGGAAATTCTGGAATAGGATATATTACATGTTTGGAATTGGCCAGAAAAAACTCTCATGTATTCATCTTAGGTCGTAATATTGAGAAATGTCAGGCTGTTGTTGTAAAAATCAAATCTGAAACTGGTAATCAAAATGTTGAATTTCTACAATTGGATTTAAAAAATTTAAAATCTGTTAAAGAATGCGCTGAAAAAATTTTGGCTAGAGATTTACCTTTGCATATTCTGTAAGTTCTATTATTAAGATTATAGTATGAAAGTTAACAAGTTTATCCTAATTAAATGATCATTTTTATCAGAATTAACAATGCGGGTATCACAACAAAGTAGGTAATAATGTTTAAAAATGATTTTTTAAATAAATTATTACCATAATAGCTTTTTAAATAAATAAATTAATATAATAAATATGTAGTACATTTTCACTTACTGAGGATGGAATTCAAGAAGAATTTGGAACAAATCATGTCGGACATTTTGTAAGTAAACAAATAACCAACTAAATTATTTAAATTATTAAATAAAAAATTCATATTAACAACCTATTTTTTTAGCTTCTCACAAAATTATTATTGCCAAAAATTAAAGCTTCACAACCGGCTCGTATAGTAATTGTTAGCAGTCATGGTCACAAAAGAATTGTTGAGAGTGGAATTGAATTCGAAAAATTAAATGATCCAAATGCACAGAGTCCTTTACAGCGTTACTCAATATCAAAACTTGCAAATATTTTATTTACTAACGAATTGAATAAACGATATCTTGATGGAGAGCTAGTATATGCTAACTCTCTTCATCCAGGTACTATAAAAAATTTTCAAATTTTAACTAAAGCAATTATATTAATTAACCAATTTATATTATTTATTATTTTTATTTATTAGGAATGGTAGATACCAACATGTTACAAAGAAACGATTTCTCTGTACCAGAAAGTATAATGTCTTCTTCAATTTCATCTGAGGATGGAGCTATTACTACATTATATTGCGCTACAAGTCCAGAAATCGAAGAGAAAAATTTTCGTGGAAAGTATTTTGAACCATTTGGTGTAGAAAGTGAAAAATCTTCATTCGCTCAAGATGATGATTTGGCCAAAAGACTTTGGGATTTTACGGAGAATATGATAAATGAAAAATTACCACAAAATTGATTTGGTTATTTATTTGATTATATGTAATTTTTCATACCAATGTTTCGGATATATTTGTTAAAACAGATACTATAGTATTTCTTTATTTTTAAGCAGTCTTCTTTTTTATCAACAAAGTTAAAATTTTTAAAAATATTTACTTTGACATACCTAATTAAATAAAATTTTATCAACTTAACAATAATTGAAAACATCTTGTTATTATCACACTGCTATATCTGATTATTTATTTAAATTAGGTGATGAAGACGCCTGTAAAGTCGCGACTACATCACGAACTTCGAGGTCCATATATTTGCGTAACATTACATAGGTGACAATAGTATTATGAAATTGTTTGAAATAAATTAAGTAGGCGTAATGTCATTTAACAATTTAAATTTTGTATATGGCTTCCGAAGGGGTTCGGAAATGTCGGCGATCACGTGGTCGCGACTTTTTTTCCCACCACTATTCTACCTTTATAAGGCAGTTTATCTTGGATTGTTATAGAATACCTGACCTCTTTGCAAATCTAGTATTGATAATACACTCATACGATATTACAGAATAACGTCATGTTTTATAGTCACGTGGGCTTATTTAAATTGAGCGCTGCACAGGAAAAGCTGTAAGGAAATATTCGAGTTAGCCCTGGGAAAATTGTAATATTATTATTAAATTACATACTATAAATGTTCAGTTCATTTATATATTGATATGTTACTTATAGCTATGTTTGTCACTATTCAATAGTGACATTAATTTTATATGTGATTTAATACATAATATTAAAATTCTCCCAGGATTAAGTTCGTAATTGTGATAATTTTAAATAATTAATTACAGGTTATTCCTGTGCAGCATTCGTTTAGAAATTATGATTAAAAGCTATTTTTGCTCTAAAAAAAATAAATAGGTTGACTTAAATTGAAGTTTATTTGGTTGGTCAAACTTATGATATGCAATTTAATATTAAAAAGAGTAATGGAATTCCTGTAGTCTTTACCCAGGTATTTTACATGGCTGATATAATAAAAGGGACCTTTTAATCAGTGCGTTATAGTAAGCATAATTGTCAATACCGGGTATTGATGCACTGGATTATATTTATTTCATGTCAAATTAATTGGCAAATTGACTATTTTCCAGTAAATTCCCTATCGTATTGCAACGAGTTTTAATAGTAATATATAATATAGCATTATACACCATAATAAATAATCTCAAATTTGGTTTATTTTATTTTTTTTTGACAATATTTATATCTTAGATTTATTAATAAATCCATTACATTGAAAAAAAGATTTAACTAGACAGCCATTGGGCCTAACTCGCTTTTTAATTAATCTTAATAAGGCGAGACCAATTTAATTCAGTGGTTTACGTTACATCCTACTCACAAAAAAAGAGGGGGAGTTTATTATTCTCCGAAATGCTCCGCGATATTATAAAAATTTTCCGAAATTTTCCGCGTATATAGTGAGGGGGAAGGCGGGAGAGGGGGGTAACGTAAACCACTGAATCAAATTGGTCTTGCCTAAGAATCGCCGTAACGACGACTAGCATAGTCAAATATCACAACACACTATGGTCACGTTTTCTGTGGATCTAGGGATTGGAACCGCCTAAAATTTTTCCTAATCGTTTAATCGTTTAACCGTTTAGTTTGGCCGGCATTAAAATAATTCTGGCCCACGACCAACATAATTCTGCCCGGAACTATAGAGCAATTTTTAAACGGTTAAACGGTTCCAATCCCTATGTGGATCTACGGAAAAGTTACGTCTTTCATAACTTTTCCGAAACATGTAAATCCTACGTATGCCGTATGTACTAAAAGTTACCGATGGTCAATGTGGTATCCATTATTCTTAAATATATAAATGAGTAAGTTAATTAATATTCACTGTATATTGATAAATTAAGCGAAACAACTGCCTACTAAAGGATCAAATGTAGCATGGCATATTAAAATAAAAGCTTCTTTAAAAAAATTGTCAATTGATTTAAACAGAATCCATAACATGATTCACAAATTATACTTTCAAATTTAGAATTTTCTAAACGCATGAAACATTTAATGAGTATATTTAATGGTACGTATCATATCCACTATTTCTTTTGAATTTATCAAGTTGAAATTTTTAACATTTACTGTCATTTATAGCTTAAATGCTAACTAGACAAAATACTTTTTTATATAAACTGTAATATTTTAAAGTTTTGATTGTTTGATTTTATTCCAAATTTAATAAAGTCAACGTGGTGTTCTTGTGAAGCACGTTTGCTAATGCTTTTCTTTCTTCTGATCCAAAATAATTATGACCAAGGTTCAAATCATTCAACGTGGTGTTGTTGCAAAGCGCATTTGCTAATGCTTTTCCCACAGATTGCTCAGATTGTTCAGACTGATCAGACTGCTTAAACCACGTAAACCGCTTGGAAAAACTTGCTGTAAAATCGGCAGATTCAGGATTATCATTGATGGATCCTAGATAATTATAACATAAATTCAAAGATTTCAAGGAGGTATTCTTGCAAAGTGCATCTGCCAATGCTTTCCCTCCACCCAATCCAAGGTAATTTAAACATAGATTCAAAGAAGTTAGCGTGGTATTCTTGCAAAGTGCAAATGCCAATGCTTTTCCTCCTTCTGGTCCAAGGCTATTCAAACATAGATTCAAAGATGTAAGCATAGTATTCTTGCAAAGTGCATCTGCTAACGCTTTTCCTCCTTCTGATCCAAGTCCATTATTATAAAGATTCAAAGACGTAAGCATGTTGTTCTTGCAAAGTGCATCTGCCAACGCTTTGCCTCCTTCTGGCCCAAGATTATTAGACCGAAGATTCAAAGAAGTTAGTGAGGTATTCTTATAAAGTGCATCTGCTAACGCCTTTGCGCCTTCTGACCCAATGTCATTATGACGTAAATTCAAAGAAGTCAAGGTGGTGTTCTTGCAAAGTGCTTCTGCCAATGCCTGTCCTCCTCTTGCTTTAAGACTATTACCAGTGAGATCCAAAGAGGTTAGTGTTGTATTCTTGCAAAGTGCATCTGCTAATGCTTTTCCTCCTTCTGATCCAAGATTATTGTTATTAAGATCTAAAGAAGTCAACGTGGTGAATTTGCAAAGTTCATCTGCGAATGCTTTTACTCCTGATCTGAGATCATTATATTGAAGATTTAAATAAGTCGGCGTGAAGTTCTTGCAAAGTAAATCTGCTAATGCTTTTCCATCCTTTGGTCCAAGTCTATTTGAACGAAGATCCAAAAAAGTCAGTGTAGTGTTCCTGCAAAGTGTATCTGCTAATTCTTCTCTTTCAAGTTTATTGTCTCGAAGGTATAAATTTTTTAGCATGATGTTCTTGTAAAGCGGTTTTAGCAATGTATATGCTCTAATATTATTTTCTCGAAGATCTAAATTTTTTAGTGTGGCATTCTTGCAAAGTGCATCTATTATTGCATATCCTCCGCATAATCCAAGACTATTAAATCGAAGATTCAAAGAAGTCAGCGAGGCGTTATAACAAAGTGCATCTGCTAGTGCTATTCCAACTTCTGGTCCAAGATCATTAGCATCGAGATTCAATGAAGTTAGCGAGGTGTTTGTACAAAGTGCAAATGCCAATGCTTTTCCTCCTTCTAATTTTAGATTATTACAATTAAGATTCAAATAAGTCAGTGTGGTATTCTTGCAAAGTGCATCTGCAAATGCTTTTCCTCCCTCTGATCCGAGTTTATTACCAGTGAGGTTTAAAGAAGTCAACGAGGTGTTCTTGCAAAGTGCAAATGCTAATTCTTTTCCTCCTTCTGATCCAATATTATTATTATCAAGATTTAAAGAAGTCAACGTAGTGTTCTTGCAAAGTACATCCGCCAATACTTTTACTCCTGATCTGAAATTATTTCTACAAAGATTTAAAGAAGTCAACGTGGTATTCTTGCAAAATGCATCCGCTAATGCTTTTACTCCTTCTGGTCTAAAATCATAGCCACTAAGATTTAAAGAAGTCAACGTGGTGCTCTTGCAAAGAAACTTTGCTAACATCTTCATCTCTTCATCACCAATCGAATTATCATTAAAACCCAATGAATTTATGACAGCACTGTTGTAAAGAGCCTCTAGTAATGTATTCATTTCTTTAGTTCCGAGTTTAATTGATATAAGATTTAAAGAAATTAAAGTAGGATTATTCTTAAGGATCTTTGCTAAAATATCTATTGCTTTAGATTTAAAATCATCGCTGATGAGACATAAATCTAGAGAGGTAATAGTATTATTTTCATAAAGATTTTCAGATATTAATTGATTACAAATAATTTCATCAAGATATAAACATTTGAGATTTTTACTAGTTCGTAGAATCATTGAAATTAAAGAACATTTAATGGCACTTTTAAGATTACAATCTTCTTCGTATCTCATGTAAATAAGCCAATTACTAATTCCACCATTCAAATACTTGGTAACGGATGTAATATAACTTGTATATTCAAATAGTGGTTTAGGATGACTTGGAAGGCTAATACTGAAAGGAGTTAATAAAGTTTGCTCTTCAACACTTAACGTTAATAGAAATGTTCTTATAAGTCTTATATCGCCAAAATGATGTTCTGGTTCGCTCCATAATATTGGTATAATAATTCTACACCATTGACGGCTTACAAGTGCACATGAAAATAGAGTATTATAATTATGCCAGAGGCTATTAAAAATTATATAATAGCATTCAGGAGGTAATGTTATCATATTGAAAAATTGCTAAAAATTTTATACATACGTAGTTGTTTATATATTTATATATATATAAAGTTGTGAAACGCTGTCAAATTTGGAATGTAAATGCCCCTTTTGGTACGTTACAATTTTGAGTATTTGGTATGGTACAGTATATTTTAAAATACATATGTGTAACTAGTAATTTTGTGTACCTAGCAGGTACACAATATAATATATATTAATTTAAGAACTGTACTTAATAAAAAGATTTATTATCTAGATACGGTTCAGTTAACATTTTAAATATATACTACTGTATAACTTATATATAGATTTATAATTTGTGTACCTTACGAAGATATTGTTCTTTTGTGTATGGTCTACAGTTAATAGTCAAAATATGTACACACATATATTGTGTTTTTGTGTATTTTATAAGATTTTTTTTTAGAATATAGAATATATTTAAAATGTTAATATTAAGATTGTATCTATGTATTATTGGTACTAGTTTTTAATATTAATAATATACCACACCAGTGATGTTCAACATTACAATTGCTATATCTCAAAAGCTAGCTAAGTAATTAATGCCGGGTGTCCTAAGTAAAAATATTCAGCTCCCCAAAATTAGGGATGGGTTCGGCCAGCTAGGTCAGCTATCAGTCAGCTATTATCGACTATCGACTAGTAGCCGATCAATTACTTGATCAATTTTTTTAATCAAACATATAAACAAGTGATAAATAATTATACTTTTATATGTTATACAATTATACAATATTAGAGTACCCTAGCCATGGCGAAAAAAAGTTTGGGTCACAGCCATTCAAAATAATCAAAATATTGAAGGTCCGATCTATATACAATCTAATTTTGGTCAAATTTGTAGATCATTTGGCTTATTAGAGATGAGTTTAAATCATCCTCAATAGGCCAAACGATCGGCAAATTTGACCAGAATTAGATTGTAGATCGGTCTATACGAAATTTTGAAAAAATTTCAAGATTTTAGCGAAGATTTCTCTGTAACTAGATTAATCTTAGTAAAAATTTTTTATTTTAATTCTAAACTTTTGTAGAATTAAAATAAAAAAATTTTATCAAAATTGATAGATGATTGTTGAGAATTCTTTAAAAAACATTCGAATTTTACAAAAAATATCGGTAAATTTTTTTATTTTTAACTTTAAACAAAGATTTCTCGAGATCCATTGATTCAAATTCGATAAAAAAAAAATTTATTTTAATTCAATAAGTTTAGGCCAGGCAAAGTTAATTTTTTGGTTCTCATAACCCGGCCGGGTCATTGAGTCCGGGAAAAAGAATTTAAAATTTATGAGGCACAGTATTTAAGTTGACCAATCAGAATTGAACATACTTAATGCTGATATTTTGAATTGAAGTAGAAAGGCATTAACAAAAGAACACCATGCTGACTCATGTTCTAATAAGCTTTAATCTGAAGGTGAAAAGGCCTTAGCAAGTATGCAAGAGAAGAAAAAAGCATTAATAAATGCGCTTACAAGAACACTTTCCTGACTTCTTTGAGTCTTATAATATGAACACAGATTAGAAGAATGAAATGCGTTAATCGATTTACTTTGTAGAAACAATCCTTGAAAGAATTGAATCTTTGAGATATGATCTGATCCAGCTAAAACTAACTATCTGGAAATTATTAACCTAACTTTTTTTAATATCCAGATATTGGTTAAAAATTGAATTAATATCCGAATAAATCATTGAATATTCATTGAACATTCGAATACTTCTAGTGATTTGATATATTATAATTCACATGTTGATTTTATTCTTTTTTTTATTTTAAATTAAAGACCAGATTGATGGAAAAGCATCTAGCAGATGAGCTTTGCAAGTGCACCATACAACTTTGTGTTCAGGTAAGACTAAATTTATAATCAATATTTTGTATGTGAATTTACAAATAAGGGCCTGGAAAGTGAAAATAATTACAAATGCGACCCTAATTAAAAATAATTACATATAAAGGCCTAATTTTAAAAAAAAATTACATATAAGGGCCCAAAGTAACCGTGACCTATTTACTCCCGTGGCTTGCAAGCATTGTATAAAAAATGTAACGATCGATTGTAAATTAGTAATTATAAATGAGAAAAGAATTTATTTAATAAATTTAATTTTCTTTGTATGAAATTGTTTATTGTTATAACAAATCACTATGATGCAAGTAAAACAGTGTGAACTGGCATGACATTTACTAATATGAAAGATGTTTGTTCAGCTTTAGAGAGCTACTCTGTTGAAACTTCGCCTTCTGAATAATTGTGCTAGTTTAACGCTGTTTTCATGCAATATTTAAGCGAAAATGATTATAACTAGCACTTCATTTATCCTTTTATCTAATAATCAGATATAGATAACTCTAAATGTCTATAATAAAACAATCGATAATCCTATAATCACGAGTTTGCTATCGTTATAAGCTTGTGATCCGTTTTTTCAGCCATCAATAGATTTTGGGCCCTTGTATATAATATTTTTTAAAAATTAGCATGTAATTATTGTGAAATTTCAAAATTCAAGTTATAAAAACATAAATCAGCCAGAATGGGAAATTAATAATAGGTACATTTATTATTTCAAATATTTTGATTGATAAATAATAATGACTGAGTCAGCTTGAATAAAAGATTGTCCGTCAACCAAATCAGCACTGACGATAAACTATTAAGACTAATAAGAAGTGCATACATTACTTTTGAATACTTTATTAACAACCTATTTTATAATTTCCGGTTAAATTAATCTAAATAAGTGGTTTAATGAGAAATGGCAGATAATTTTTAATCTTACTGACAGACTAATTTAATATAAATATAAAGAAATGACTTATTCATATTTTAAATGCATCCACTATTATAATCATTGCCACTAAATCAATGAAATAAGAAATCAAATTAAAAGTGAATAAGCGCTATTTATTTTTGCAACAGCGAGAATAAGAGGTAAATTTCTGGCTATATGAGGGTCCGAAGGACCTCATATAGCCAGAGATCTACCGGCTTATTTCCTGTAGCGGTAAATGTTTTGATTGTAATGAAGGACATAACATATAAATTGTAGTAGTGATTACTTTTCTTTCTTTCTTTTTTTTTTTGATCTACAAATTTCACAATATTGATAACAAGATCTGTTTTTAAAATGAATATTTTACACCTTCTTACCATATAATTTGGTCAACCAACTATCCAGATCTTCTGTAATTTCATCGTGATAAAACAAGTTAATGCCGTAAAAATATTCATCACTGAGCTTTTATACGAAACTCATATTTTTAACGTTAATATAAATTGGTAATTCGAAATAAATTAATGATGTAAGTTTATCTTATTTTTCACATGAAAAAATGATTGGTAAAAACCGTGATGGACGATAATTTATTATAAGAATATACTATACGAGGTTTTTTAGAAGCTTAGACAATGATAATAAATTTTAATTGTTTTTATTTAATCTCTATTTTATTACAATAATGGGTCTTTTCCAATATTTTTAATTATTTAAAATGATTGTCTTGATATACTTACAGTACAAAGTACATTGAAATATACCTACAAAATCATGTGCATGATTCTCAAAGTTCATCACTAGTTCTAATAATAATAGGCAGGTTTGAATATTTGTTTAGAGTTAGAGATGCGATCCAGATATCTTCTTAATTTAATTTTATAACTATTATTATTAAGAATCCGGATATCCGTTAAGGAAAATGGATAACGGATCGCATCTCTAGTTTAGAGATAGATTTTATGTAATAAAATGAATAATAAACTAATAATTTGAATGGGGTCTATAATAATAACGGGTAATACATAATATATAATTTATATTTAATTAGTCTAACAGTCCGTTCCGTCTCATACCTAGTTGGAACCGGTTTTATTTTTTTGTATACAAATCGGCTTAACCCAAAATAAACCAGGATTTCTTACCGTTATCGCTATTATTATAGATTTGACCAAAATTTCTATTATGTATTTCCGGATCATAGCTTTATAAAAATAAAATTTTAATTTTATAATTTAAAAAATTTTAAAATTTTAAATAAAAGTCCGGGCAGGCGGGTCTTTTTTTTTTGTTTTATGTTAAGAGAACCAAAAAATTAATTTTATATAGCCTTATAAATTAAAATAAAAAAAAATTGCCTAATTTTAGCTTAAATTTAAATAAATTTTAGATAAATTTTGATTTAAATTTAATAAATTTTAGATAAATTTTGATTTAAATTTAACAAATTTTAGATAAATATTAATTTAAATTTAGAAATGTTTTTATAAAGTTCATTCTTTTATTTGTCAAAATACTTAATACTGTAATTCAGTATTTAAATTTTGCCGATTGTTATTAAATATAAAATTAGGAATCAAATCGCATAAATTTATGCCTCTAGTCAATACAAACTAATCATATACTGTATGTCTTCGAAATTTAGTTTGTATAAATTTCTATTAAAATGAAATACGTATCACTAGGGATAAGCAAATCAAATATCTTTTCGAATCTACTGCGGCCCATATTATAGCTTACTGCTAATGCAGGCCAGAATTGAGAAGTTCCGAAATATTCCACCTGCGCAGCATCCCATTCCTACGTATCACAAACTATAATATAATATGGAAATTTTTAGTTAAAACTGATAATTTAGATATGTATAAATTCTTTAGAATTTAAAATTTTTAGAAAATTTGAGTTGATACTTTAAATTTTAGGTTTTTTTGTGAAAATTTTATATCTAAAATTTTACGGGTCCCTGTATGAGACTGGAAACGTGACCTGACGGTAGGCACGTGACAACTTGACCTCGGTTTTGATATAGCCCTGACATTCTTGATGCACATACTCCAATAAAATTTAATTTTATCAAAAAATTCATCGAATTTTGATGGTGTCGGCAGCAAACCTGAAATCCTGTGATGCTGCAAGATACGGGAGCCGCAGCAATAAATAAAAATAAAAAATAAAGTATACTTTTGACCATAGAATCGCCGAAATTAGACAAGCCCCGGGCAAGGCAAGCCCTTAAAAGCCCCCATTAGATGAAAGATCGGGACGAGATCGTGAAAAAATCGCCAAGATATCGTGGTTGCATCATGATAAGCAAGTTATCAAGATGGCCCAAGACCGCGGTATAATGGAACCCTGGATACGACGTAAGGAGAAGAACCATGGAGAGACTTGGCTAACATGAGGTCAAATTAGCTCAGGGTTACAAACATAGGTTATGCGAGATGAATGTCATAAGGGATTCGGAATTAATGATAATGGGTCATTAAGGAATGTATTTATTTATTTAGTCACTTAGTCGGAGCAAAGAGTTCAATTATAACATCATAATCATCATCGCAATAATGATGTTCTTTATTAGTTTAATCGCTGTATTTATACATTTCAAATCCTGAGGGTCCAGGACCCAAATCTGGGTCTCAGACCCTTATCGGGGGTCTCAGACCCTTATCCGGGGTCTCAGACCCTTATCCACGGTCTCAGACCAAGATCTAGGGTCTCAAACCCATGCACAGCCATAAGACTAACAAATATAGTAAGAAGTACAATTACCATAAAAAAAATATTACAAAGAAAATTTGGACACAAAATTTTCATAACATACACCATGTCAGAACATTGCAAATAAAAATAGAAATAAATTAGGCATATCGATATCGTGTGGCGGTGTTGGTCGGATGTTTACATTCACGAGGGGAAATGGGCAAATGACTTCTATCGCGTTAAGATCAGTGGTGATAACGCGATGAGATAAGGAACGAGACTTTGAATTCTTTTTTTCTCTGATAGATTGAAAATTCTGTATAAATAGAGTTGTAATCCGCCCCAGTTATAAGTTGAAGTTAATAAAACAATTTGGAAACAGTTCTAATAAAAAAGTGATTACTTCATTTTCATATAAATTACCCGCAACAAACTAACTCCCGCCTTACCTTGCCAAATCTTCCTCGCCTTCCCTGTTAGTTTTGTTGTGTGGTTTTGTAGTTTTTTTGGGTTGTGTTTGAGCGGTGACTATGCTGATCTGTTTTTTACATTTAGTAGTTGCCTCCGACAATGGGTGGTTGCTGATATATCTTTAAGTTTTGAAAACTTTAAAATGTCTGACAAAATAATAGCTAAGGCAAAGTTATTGAGCGAAGATATCTCAACAACTACTCAACTAAATTTGATAAACTTTTTTTTTTTTGATTCTACAAATCAATAGAATTAAAATAAAAAAAAAATTTATCAAATTTGGATGGATAGTTACTAGGAAATCTTCGCTCAAAGGTTCGAAAATATTAAAACTTCTATCAAAATAACCGCGGTGGCAAAATTTTTATCAAATTTGAGCGAATATATCTCAGCGATTACCTAACCAAATTCGACAATTTTTTATTTTGATTTTACAGATCTGTAAAATCATAATTAAAAAAAACTCATCGAATTTGACTAGGTAGTTGTTGAGATATCTTCGCCGCAACAAAATTTGACGGCAGATTCTCGATTTTGATTGGCTAAGAGCGACGATCAAAAATTAGGCCGGAATTATTCATAATTTTACTAATGTTCCTGGGTCAATCTATATTTGTAATTAAAAAATTAAAAAGTCAATTCCGGCCGGAATTAGTAAACAATTTTTAATGTGGGCCAAAATTTTGAAGATCTTCAGCCGTTAGCCAATCAAAATAGAGGGTCAATTTTGTTACGGCAGCTATGGGTCAAGTGTAATTTTCAGGGTAATGATTTAATTAAGGGATCTGTGAGTTGCAGCACATATAAAATTATATGCCGATCTATATGTTTTGTAAAAAATGACAATTTTCGCTTATAAGCTAACACTTGTATCTTACAATATAACTGATATTCTTCATTATAACAAAAAATTTTTGTTGTTTCATATTTTTAAACTATATATATTTTTTTCCTCTTATGACAAAAACCTTTGAAATATCTTGTTTTGAAAATAGTGTTTTGAGACTATCGACGAAATCAAACTCGAAATTTGATTGGTTGATGTGACCGATCTACAAATGAGCCGCCGTCAATAGATTGACAATTTAAAAAAAATTAATACCTTAACTTTCACAGCTCACATCTCGATGAATTTCGGAAATACCTTAATAATTTAATAGTTCAAAGAAAATTTAAGATTTATGCTTCCTTTTGACTATTAAATCATTAAGATATCTCCAAAATTCATTGAGATATGAACTATGAAAGTTGAGGTATTAATTTTTTTTAAAATTGCTGATTTCTATTGACGGCAACCAAAATGTTAACATTAAGGTCATCTCACCATAATCCTCGATCATCCAAAGTTCATCCAAAGTTCATTATCATAATAGTATTCTTGAGAAAGCCGATATCACATGATCTCACGGACCCATGGGTCCACAAGATCATGTGAATACAATTCTAGCCTTAGCATTAGTATCGCGTAGTTCTGGAACAGCCCTTGTATTGGGTTTCGGGATTGTTGAGCGAAGAAAGTTCACTACATGAACAAGAAATAAGTAGTCGGGTTGTTAGTGAGAAGGGTAGTGCTAACGAACGAAAATATGATGCGAACGTTCCACGTGATGTACATACTTGCGTCGGGGATGATTGAAAGGGAAATGTAGGAGAATGAGTCGTGATTGCGGTGAGTTGGATGATTAATAAGAAAGCATAAAATAAGTATGAGTAAGTGTAAGGGAGTTAATTAATAAGAAATAACGTAACCGAATGTATAAAATAGCAAAGTAAAAGTTAGTCTTTTCGCTCTAACGCTAATAAATCACGGAAAAATTGATATACATGTCCCAAATAGCCTGTATTTTGCAAGCTAGACAGAAATCGACGTTAAAGGTCTTCCTGAGTTAGACGTGCAGGATAGATCGCTTCTGCTAAACCCCATGACAATTTGAACAAAATTTCAGATGATGTTAATGTAAAAGAAAAAAAAAATAAACAAAGAAAAATAAATATTAATAGCATTTACTTACAACACTTTATTGAGTTCTCGATCAATGAAATATGAATAGTTAACGTTAATGCTCATTTATGTGAGTTATGTTATTGAACTTCAGATAAAAAATTCTTAATATACAGTCGCGAAAGTTATTAAGGTCATTATAATATGGGTGCTGATAAGAGCTCAATATATCCCCCTTCCCCAATGGTCTCAGAACAATGGTAAGTTCTAAAATAATCAATAATATATCTTGATTATTTTAGAACTTGTCATGGTTCTGGAGCCATTGGGGAGGGGCTATATTGAGCTCTTATCTGTCAGACAGGGCTTTAGACGCTATAGTAATATGCCGGCCATTCAAAAAGCATCGTTCTGGATGTATAAATATTGTATTGTACTAATTTTCAAAAATGACACTTCAAACAATTAGCATTAGCGCAGTAAAATGGCCGGCATATAACTATAGTGTCTGAAGTCTTGTTGTCAGCGTAGCATACATTCAATACATTACCTTACACATACTTCATCCAGCATATATGGATAATCGAAGAAGTTTATGCATGCAGCTTATTTTATTAACGTAATCAATTGTTATAATTGTGATTGTCCTTCACATTCAGAATAACGACAACAAATAGCGATAGTGTAAAAGAAAGCAGAGGATTAATAAATTGAATGTTCTTTTTCTCAAATATTAAAAATGGAAATATTACATGATCAAAGTACATTATTCTGTTCAATCCATATGCATTTTGCCGATCATCCGTTCAATCCAATGAATCCATTCAATCAATCCATGCGGATTGATGATTATTATATCATCCGTTTATTATATTAATATGGGAAAGCACAATATCCTTGTATTGTTTTACTTTATTTATTATTAAATAAAGTATCAGAGAAATAAAATCGATTTACACCACTGTTTTAACTTTAATTATTTTAAAAAAAATGTCTGCTTATGATAAGGAAGATGCTGAAGCATTGACTAAATCTGATAACAATTCTAATAAAAAGACAGGTCAATGATACTCGCGGTGGTAGTAATGTTAGAAGTTGGATTTGGTTGTACTTTGATCCCGTGTTTGTTGAAGGTGTAAGACACGCAGTTTGTAAGGTTGAGATGGTAAAAGGGAAGAAGTGCGGTGTAAAATATAAGGTTAAAAATTCAACAAGCAATTGCTCTACTCACCTTTCGAACGTTCATGGGATCACTGAAAATCAGGCTAAAAATAAAAATGATACGAAGTTAACTAATTTACCTCACAATGAATCGCGTCAGCTTCAATTGTGTCAATACCTTGCGGACTGGATCATAGCCGATTCTCAGCCGCTTACTGTTATTGAAAACCCAGCTTTTAAAAAATTCATAAGCGAGTTAGATCCAAAGTTTAAAATTCCATGTATTAAATCTATAAAGAAACTTGTACATATTGCTTACAACCATTCTTTAAAATTAATCATGGAAAAAATAAAAAATGATTCAACTTCTGTATCTTTAACTTGTGATCTTTGGACTGGGAAAAATAGACAAGGTTTTTTAGGCATAACATGTTCTTACCTTGATCATGAATTTCAATTTCATGAGATCAAACTTTCTGTCGAGCATATCCGTCATCCACATACCGCCGAAAACATCAGTGATGCCATTCTTTCATTTTTGGATGAATGGGAATTACGTGATAAGGTTTTCACGATAACCACTGATAATGGTAAGAACATGCAGAAAGCTGTTAAAGACTTGAGAGAAACGGTGAAAAACGTAACCTGGCAACCGTGTGCGGCACACACCATTCAGTTGGTGATTGGCAAGGGGTTGGAACCGGTTAAGATTCTAGTTGGCCGTACCAAGCGCCTGATTGATTTCTTTTTAAGGCCCAAGCAATCCGAGCGTTTGGATGATATCCAAAAACGATACATAAAATCAAATGAGGTTTAAAAGTTTTTTGTCTTTTATTTATTTATATTTGAAATTACTAATTTTATTTTGTATTTTTAAGGAAAAATCTATCGTACGTTTATTTAGTTTTTATGAGTCTAATAAAATTTATTAACCAGTATCATATTTCAGGATGCTAAGAAAACATCAACTTATTTGAGACATGTAATCGCAGATGTACCTACTCGCTGGAATTCCAGCTACCTGGCATGGTGCCGTCTTTTGGAGTTAGAAAAATA